TATATATACATATATACATATACATACATATACAAATATATATATATATACATACATATACATATACATATACATACATATATATATGTATACATACATATACATACATATGCGTATACATACATATATATATACATACATATACATACATTTAGATACATATATATATATATACAAACATATATATACAAACATATATATATATACATATGTATATATATATATGTATACGTATATAAATACATGCATATGAATGCATATATATACGTACATATATATATATATGTACGTATATAAATACATGCATATGCATACACATATATATATATACATACGCATTTATATATATATATATATACATACATACATACATGCATGCATACAGACACATACACAGACATAAGTACGTACGTACGTACGTACGTACATACATACATACATAGATGCATATATATATACAGATAGATATAGATATCCTGAATACCCTCTGGGAAATCAACATAGACCCTGAAAATAACAAATTGTTAGTGTAAACTGTGCTTCCAACCCCTATTTGGCAGGGTCTATGTCTATGTTATATAATTTACTGGCGGGTATTGTATAATTATGATGTATTCATGGGCACTGGGGCGGCGGTCATCCTCAAGTAGTGTTTGGACTCTGCAAAAGCGATCGATCTGCATCACATTGAAATGCTGGACATGCCTTAGTCTTCCGCATCTATCTATCTATCCATCTACCTAGATACTGTAGATTGTACAACCCATAAGCAATGGGAACGTCTTAATCAACGGGCGAATCAAATAGCCAGAGGGATGACAGCTGCTGAGGGTCTTGCTCACCTCAGGTGAGGATCATTCCTATTGCAAGAAAGCGCTGCTTGGTTGTTATTGGAGCGTGCGAAGCAGCGGCTAAAATCTCCTAGCGGTTTCCTTTATCACCAACTTGAGAATCAGAATCCATGTGAATGCACCACTACAGTAATGCAATGTACTTCTACACTCATGTTGTGCCGTTGCAATGAATCATATCCTGTCGGCAGCTGTCTCCGAGTTCAGTGGATCGATGAAGGACGAATGTGTATGTTATATATGTCACCGGTTATAGCATGTTATACCCAAGTATGATGATGTTGATCTAATATGATCTAATATGATCTATTATGATCTAATCATCTAATCCATCAAAATAGGGGTTTTCCAAGCAACAACACTATACAACCCTGAGAAGTGGATTTTCATGGATTTTCGAGTGCTCGCTTGAATGATCAACTGTTTGCCGTTGGTCGAATGTGTTGTTTCCTGCCCAGCATCGCTTAGGGCAGATTGGACGCCAAATCAGAATCTGGGTGGCGGATACTGCGGCGGAACCCTCAAAGGCATCACAAGTGCCTTGACGAATCGGGCAGCTGTGGCAGCCGGAAATTTCAGGGTGCTCCCCCCCGCAGTGTCAGCATTCCCCCATGGTTTAATATGTGATAGGGTTGTAATAAGCTTGAACTTTACTGTTTGCTCCCCCTCTCTGTACTTCTTTGTACTCTTTTGTTTGGATTGATTGGGGTTGATCTCTCCCTGATCAACCAATAAGTTAATGACAAGGGGGTTTTAAGCCCGACTCATTTGGATCATCTCCAAGAGATGGTGGAAGAATTTTCCACCCAGGACGGGGACCCCCGTTGGGACCGTTCCAACAAAAGTGGGGTGCCCCCAAAACCTTCCAAGTCAAGCCATTGTAGTAACTATATTTAAGTGCATTGAAACATTTGAAACATACTTAACTCTATATGGTTTTTGGAGGTTTTTGGAGATGCATTCTTAACTTCTTAATTAACTATATATCACTAGTGCAAGCCAATGGTGCGGCATCATCACCTACATTGACCTACATCCTCGAGGCAAGCTGGACTACATCCAGGGCATGGGAAGCTCAGCAAAAAATCCTGGGGTTGTCCCTAAATGGAGGTTTCATGGAGGTTTAATGGGGAAAAATATGGAAAAAAAAACATCTATTTTTCTCCAATTGATGTTAATCTTATGGATAAATATGGATAAGATGTGTGTGTTTTGTAGTTTGAACTATTTCAAGACTAACATTTGGCCATAGCCCAAACAAACAGCTGGACCCTGAGAATCATGGGTGAAGTCATTGGGGGCTGCTGAGGGTCATGCAATCCACTGGCCATGTGCTCAAAATCTGTACCCCGTTGAACATCAACATAACTCATTTAAATTGACTGGACGTTGAATAGATTTGGTGATTCTAGCTTTTGGATGCTTTTGGACCATTCCCAAATAGAAGCTTGGCAGATACATTTGAAAGACATTTCGGCTAGCAGCCGAAACTTGGAGGTTTCGACTGCGTTTGGATTACACCACCGGTACAGTCAAACAGTTCCTCGGCGTCCTGATTGGATTTGTGCCGAGTTGGAAGTTGTGTTTGTGCACGCGCTCTGCATTTGATTTTTTTCTCCATTTGTCAAACGATTTTTTCCTTTTTTAGAGAATCGATTTCAAGACTTGGAATGTCAGGAGAAACCTTGGTGTTTCTTGGGAAGGTTTTAAAAGTTTTGGTTTCCGACTTTTGCACTTACGACTTTTCATGTGATTGGAGAACACTGGGATGTTGCAGGATGGATGTGTGAGAGCAAGCCAATGTTTTCCTTGAGCTTGATTGTCCAGTTTTTTTCCCCAAAGCAGTGCTTCAGTGTCAGTGATGAACCAACTGCAACGTATATCTTCTGTGTGAGCAGGCATAGGTTTGCAATTTCGATTGTGGCCCAAGTTCAGAAATGTTGTTGAGAGGTACAGATTTGGCAATGGAATAGACATGAATAGACCTTGTTAAATTCTAATGTTGACTGTAGGAACATCATCTACAAATGGCAATGTTCCATTGGCATGTTTGGTTAGCAGCAGGCGAAGCTGGATTTTTTCAGGAACATGGGAATGGATCAACTTTGGGCAGCGCAGATGTTGGGATCCATGCAGGCTTTATGGGCTACGATGCCACCAACCTTTTCGAGATCAATCCACACTTTGGGACCAAGCAGGTTGGCACCCTCACGGCTGGGGGTGTTGGTGGCTGGGGATGTTTGGGGTAAACCTTGGGTAGTTGGGTGCTGCAACTGGAACAACTACTGTAACTATAATTAATTGCTCTTGAGAAGGTATTCATCCGAGGGCATGCTTGATTGAATCCCATTATTCACACATTCTTCAGTTCATTTCAGTTAGGGCGCTCACTGATCGTACAAGGACGTCCGGATTTGGGAACTTTGGGCCGATTTATTTTCAAACATGGGCAACATGGGTCTCTAAGTGAAACTGAGAAGCATGGGTACCGGCTAACTCTTTCCAAGTTGACTTGTGAGTCTCATCACTCTCTACATTCCGACCATTTCAAGACCATTTCCGACCTATTCCGACCATGGCAACTATCATGCTTCCACATTTCGTGAAATCATCCGTACATTTCCTGAGACGTGACAGGGTCAGCCGCGCTGAGGATATGAAGGAGCTTTCAGAAGGCCTTCACAAAAGAGGTATGTGCTTCTTAGCTAAGTTCCAGCGGAGCTCTGATGGATATATAATGATATATAATAGATATATAACATGCCTTCTAATCTGACCTAGCCATGGGGAATCTCTAAATCACCTGTAATAGGTATAGACGGTATAAAATGATATAGATGGTCCCTATACAGGCGAATACCGACGAATTGACGAATTGAAACGTGTTTGGGCTTGCCATTTTTTGGGTCGGCACAGAAATTAAATCACCATACTAGACCCGTACCATCATATCCAACATATTCCAATATATTCCAATATACTGGAACTGCACAAATCTTGGTGAACAGATTATTCTCCTGGGTCAACAAAATGACAAGCACACTTTTAGTGGAATGATCATACCCCGCCAAGAAGGTCATCATGTCATCATGGTAAAAGAAGCATCTAAGAATCAGACATGAAACACAAGGCTCCACGTCATATTATATTATATATATAGATAGATGATAGATGTATAAGTATAATCTGGTGATATATTACCATAGCAGAAACGCTTTTCAGCCTAGTCAGTGTTCAAAGCTGAGGTTTGGTTGTTGACATTGTTCTGAAGCTTGGCCCGGAGAAAGGCTGTAGAGGCAGAGTACCGCTGATTTACAGGTGTTCAAGGCCGGGCCCAGACCCAACGATTGACACAGCGCCGAGGAATCACATGAGGCCGCTGGTGATCAATGGCAAATTGGACTTGGATTCTATTGCGTCTTGACGTCTTGACTCCGTCTTGTCTTGATTCGGTGATTTAGCTTGAACTTGATATAACTTGACTACAATTCATTGTATGGTTGAGTGCTACTGGATGAGACCTAAGTCCAGAAACTGGGTGTATGAACATCCCAGAAACCATTCTGTGCACCGAACGTTCATTTTCTTCAACATTTATGTAGGTGCAAGGGTCTTGACCCATGCTTTAACGACCAAGATTTGTTGTTTAAGCCACATCATGTTGATACTGCACCATACTGCACCCATTTTGAGACTGGAAACGATGATCCGACACCAAGCTGGGATGTGAAAGTACATACAGTATATAGTGTTTTTTGTCCAGACTGAGGGACCCTGAGAATGTACAACCACATTCAGACATTGTTGAGTTGCGGACGAATACCAATAGCTTTGGAATGGTTTGAAGTATTCTCAAGTTTTGCCATGCCCAAATGGTACCGCAAGCACTTGCAATGCCCGAGAGAAGCACCGTGTTAGGATTGCAAGCCAGTGTGTACCAAGTTGGACTTGGGTGAAACAACGCCAGCCATCCCATGCACTCAGATTTTCTATCCCAAATGTCCATGAATCAGCTATGTTTGTTGTTGAGTCAGTGTTTTTCTTCAGAGTACCCATCAAATACTGGCCCTATGCATATAACAGGGCAAGCATGTTCATCATACAAATCTATGGAAAGTGACACATTTAGCTCGATGATTTATGCGTTACATGGTGATTTTGTGTAGTTTGCAGACATTCCACGACCTTCCCGTTGTGTCATCCCAGTGTGTATCATCCACATCTCACGTGGCCCAGGTTCCATTTGATTCGCCCGAGTACTATCATCAACGAAACCGCGGGGCGGGCCAAAGCTTTGAGGTCCGGGTGACCAGATGGGACCAGGGGAGACGGTGGAACGAAAAAACGTAAAGGTTGGGGTTGAAGATGCACCCTGACAAGCCCCAACGCATAGCACGATCTGGTAAAATAACATGTCGATACAAGAGTTCTTAGAATTCTAGTAATTATAGTATGCCTATATTATAATAACATACTATATAGTAATTCATGAGTTTCTTAGACCTCTAGAGGAGTTGGATAAGTGGAAAGTTGGAAACCGCATCGCTGGACTACACCACTGGGCCTTGGACAGGACTACCTGAAGAAGGGCCCGCCGGGTGCCTTCAACGGACAGCCCGACAGCCAGAAGCTGAAGAAGTTGGTGAAGCGCAAATCGGTGCGCGGCCACCATGGTGGGTTCAACCCCAGTTCCAACATGTTCCAACCATAAAAGTACTTCTGTATGGTGCCCCATCGTTTCTGTATGGTACCTCCCTCCAATAATTTGGGTTTTTGGATGTTTTCTGGTAGATATAGCTTACAGGTAAAGGGGTAAATGGGGGTTGGTAAAGGGAGTTTTGAACCCACAAACATAACTAGGGGCACCACCTTGTGAGGATTCTTTACTAGGGAAGCCATGATCATTTGTGGTTGGAACTTGGGTTCCAGGTGGACATTGTGACAGTGAATTACTCTGTGTTGAATAAGAGGGGCTGAGTACCACCGAAAACATTTTTAATTCAAGCGTTTGCACATCTACACAGTTTCTTCCGCGTATACGCTCGAGAGTTGCCGTTGGCCAATTGAGCAACCGCCACGCAGGTTTCATGCGGACCTGCGAATCCCGATCAGACTCAGTGTGATTGCATGCCTGGCAACAGTGGCTGCTCAGCTGGACTTGGAGCAAGTACCTGCGTATGTACATACGTACAATATATATATATATATATTATATATATTATATATATATATTGTGTCATGTATTTTTTTTAAATATATATATTATATATATTATATATATATTGTGTCATGTATTTTTTTTAAATATATATATATATATATTATATTATGTATTGTATATAAGGTATATGTATTGAGACAATATCAATGATGATCAATGTGCACTTTTGATCTAGAGAGATCTATATTTTTCAGCTCCTCGGTCAGTTGGACGAAGGACTGAACTGCCCATCCTTTGACCCTTCCCTGCTGGTGTCTTGGAGAGCAGCCCAACAGCCCTCGGTTTCTCCAAAAAAATGGTGCACCCCTAAAATCCATGGTTTATCCCATGGTTTATCATCATTCTCCCTCTTCAAATGTAAATAATTGGGAGTATGAAAGGTTATTACATGTTAGCTTTCCATTTTTGTGGAAACCACAGAGACATCGGATCACATGATGAAAAAATGCTGAGAGCTGCTTGGACACATTTGGCCATCAAGGCAATGGGGTAGATTCCTTTGGTGAAACAACTACGTAGGAGAACTGTTGGATATATGATGGATATACATGGTTAGATGATTTTAGATGATTTTAGGTGAGCTATCAACTTGGCCCCTGCATGGATGGTTTCCTTGAACAAAAATCCTGGTGCTGGCTCACAGGTCGAGGGATATTTGGGTTCTCTCGGAGATCTCAATCACAGCCATCCCTTCGTTCAGCAGCAGATGTTGAAATTCGTCACTGGCTTGGTAGAGGACTGCTATCTCTGCAGGATGGGGATCCCGAATTGATATGGAGTCCATGATCTCACCCAAAGCACCAACCGTAATGAGGACTATGCGGTTGACGCCTTTCGACTGGATACTGTGGTCTATGTGGATCTTAAATTCGTCAAGGAGGTCCAGCAAGTCGCTTGGATCGCTGGGAAGATCGAAGTGGCAGGTGCCTCCAAGTCGGGTTGTATCAGATTGTCAGATTTCATAATGATTGGGGACGTAGCATGATGCTGATGATGGACCCAAATGTACCCAACCATCAACGTAAGTTGTTGCGGACTGTAACAACAACAGGTGGGTTATGACCGATGGGATGACAAAGGTGCTGTAGGGTTTGTCAATAGGGCGCCCCGAAATCCACTGGTTCATCATTTCTCATCATTTCCCTATTGCATTTGTGTGGGCTTATCCCATTTGCGGACAAATGACATAGTCAGCAGATGTCAGCAGCTAGTTTTTCCATGTTTGAAGACCAGGGTAAGTCGAACTGATCAAGCTTGCAATGAAACCTGTAGGAGTTGTTGTTGAATCAACAGACGAGCATTTCTCCGTGATTGTTGCAGCAGGATTTTCCAAACCTACATCGCTTGTATGTTTAGCCGCGGTGCACCACTGGCTACAATCAGCTGCGATGTGTTTCGAATCTGACATTCATAGGGCTTAGAACTATTTCAGTTACTGTTTCCATATGTTTTCTTTCTTTTCAGAATCAATTTCCATCTATATGGGGATTTCTTAAAATGGGGGATCATCAAAACCATAGGTTTCAATACTAAATCTAGTCAATTTTGGATGATTTGGGTACCCACATTTTAGGAAACCTCTATTTATAATCATATAGATTCATATAACATATTACATGAGTATACATTCATATATTAGATTATATTAGTATATTTTGTTATATATATATATATAGAGTACACATTATATATATAAATATTATATGATAGCCTATGATAGCTGTTTCATATATTTGTTCCACATCTGCTCAGTGGCCGAGGCTGCGGGAGTTGAAATCTTGGGAGAGGCCACAGTCAACAATTTGACCTACCAAGCGTCGCGCGGCCGCGGCGGCGGTTTCTGTGACTCCTAAGTCGCAGGGGCTACCAATCTTCCAAGCTGGTTGGTGGTTTGGAACATTTTTTATTGTTCCATATATTGAGAATAATCATCCCAACTGGCTAATATTTTTCAGAGGGGTTGAAACCACCAATCATCCAAGTTATGGATGACCCAAAAAATCTTGTAACATCTGGTTAAGATTCATGTTAAGATATGAGATCTATTTTGTAAGAACTGCTGGTTTAAGTACACTGTGACATGAGTGGGGAATGTGTTAGCATATTTTGGATATTTCAATCCAACCTTCTGATATCTGGGCCACTATCATCAGACAAAACCATGAAGGGTTGAATGATTGGTTTGAATATGTTTCAATTGATTGTTTCAAATGATTGTTTCAGTGATGTATCCTTCTCAAACTCCATCGCCCAGAATGGTTTCAATTGATGTGTCAAATGATAGCCGAGGCAGCTGATGCGAGATCAAAATAACGCGACCTGCATTAGCAGCGGATTGGGCAGGGTGGAGTGCGTTGATGTACATATAATACGGATCCGAATTTACCTTGTGTATGAGTATCAAAGATTGGGTTGTTAAGGCAACATGGATGATTAAGTGGTAGATCCAGCTTTAGATTAGGGGTACCCTATTTCCAGACAAATCCGTGTGGAGTCATTTACTGCCGTGTGAGATAGTGCACCCTTGAAAAGGAGTCGAAAGGTGCCTTGACGATTAACGTGAAACACACTGTAGCCATGAAGATTGTTGTTTTCCTGATCCGCAACTTGCCGCAAAATCCTCCTTTTCTAGATGATTTCTTGATATTTCTTGTGAAAATCTGCTTTTTTTCTAGATTTCCCAAAAGTGCCATTTTTGATCCCTCGGAGCCGGTAAGCTGGGCACTGATTTGAAGTGAGATGACTATAAATACCACCAAAAAATATGGAACTGGTTGGTGGTTTGGAACATGACTTTCATTTTTCCATATATTGGGAATAATCATCCCAACTGACTAATATTGTTCAAAGGGCTTGAAACCACCAAAAAACATGGAAAGTCTGTTCTTGCGAAACCAACCAAAGATTTCTGATGTGTTTTGCCTCACCACATGATCATCCTTTGTCTTTTACCGAAGCTCAGGAGAGAATTCTGACTGGCCTGTGGCTTGGCCCAGTTTCAATGTGGGGATCTGATTGTCCTTCTCCCTCTGTCTCTCGTGAAACACCAGCGTCAAGACCTTGAACTTATCAGCATTTTCTCCAGCAAACCAGAGACATATAACAAGTTAAAGGATTTATGTTTAAAGTTTAAACATATGTTACATTTATGTTGTTCGTATATTTGCCTTAATTCTTATCCATAGGCCCATAGGATTCCCTTTCCATGTCCCTGATCTGCAAGAGTCATCCCAACCTTGGCCTTTGATTGCCTTTCTCATCCGAGGTTGAATTTCCCACCATTCTATGAACTTCCCACGGCTTTTTGTGGATTTCGTATGGGTCTCCTGGTTGCACGTGAGTTCCAAGGTGAGTTCCTGGTTGCAGCTACTGAGATCCTCCAAGTTTTCACCGTCCCTAATGTCAGCCCTATAGACTAAGTCTAATCTCTAAGCTGTTTATCAATGGGCGACATTATAGTAATATTAATATCTATGAATAGATTTAATAGATGTGCAACATCATGTATATATATATAATTATATATATATTGTATAGTTATGTATATATATATATATGTCACATCATAGGGAGGTCCATTCTCGCCAGTTGTCGTTGGTTTTTCCAGGTGGCGAATTCGGGGACTGGGGCGTTCAGGGCACCTGGCGCGCCCACGGACCTGACATGAATGGGCTAGGAGCGATGTCGGATGGCTGGGATGAGTCACGGTGAACCAGGTACCCGGCCTGGTAATTTAACAGTTTGCTATTGAAAATGGCCATTGAAATAGTGGATTTTCCCATTAAAAATGGTGATTTTCCATAGTTTTTTGTATGTTTACCAGAGGGTACCCGGCCTGGTGAACAAAAAACGATGGAAAGATCCACCATGTTTTTTTTGGAACAACTCACTATTTCTGAAATTTCTATGGCCATGTTCAATAGCTATTTTGACATAACCAGAGGGTAGAACCCGGAGCTAATATTTATGGACATTGAATCCAATTCGATATTCCAAGGTGTTTGGGTGGCTGAATTCGCCATTGTTTCTGCGACCTTGAAAGTTTGGGTATCTATACTGAGGTTGATTTTGTTTTGAAGATCACATCCCAAGAATCAGCTGCATAGGTCAAGCCACATTGTATGAGATGGATACAGCATACATAGATATTGAATAGATATTTACGTATGTACTATTATGTATTACATATGGTTGCATATGGTTGTCTACGATTTCCGGCGTCGAAACAAGTATTGATGTTGACAAGGGAAAAACGATGGTGTCTAGAGATAGATCTGCAACCAATTTGGTTTCACAGCTTTGTACGGTGACGTTTGATGGAGATATTAGGAATAATCACCAGATCCAATGAGGAGGTATAGTGTATATCTTCCGGCTGTTTGAATGTTGGGCCGGCCAGGCAACCCACGGAGTCTATGTTTTCTGTTATATTCTATTCAATATTATTTTGTATTATTTTAGATTGTTTCATTCTATTTTATATATGAGAAGTAGTATTTATTATATATAATATATATATATATTATTACAGTGTATTTTTGAAATATATTATAATATATTCTGTTATGTTATTCCATTTACAGGTTTACAAATGATATCAACACTATTTATCGTAATATAATATCATAATGATATATATATACCCTCTGGTGAACTAACATAGCAATGGAAAATCACCATTCTTAATGGGAAAATCCACTGTTTCAATGGCCATTTTCAATTGCTATGTTAGTTCACCAGAGGGTACACGTATATATACACATCATTCTTTAGTAGACACTACACCGCAGGAGAAGTGATGATGGAACAGCTTCAGTCGGGACAGTGGCTTGGTAAGATGCCGGTGGGCACGCAGTGAGTTGCGCACGGTTCCTGTGTTTCTGTTGGGATCGACAGATGGGATGTACAGAAATATATATATACTGTATATATTTAATATAGTATGGTCTGCAATTTTAAATCGTGTTTTAAAGAATAATTTCTAATCTTCAATTTTCTATCCCAAGCGGGAATCCCATCAGGCTTGATCATTTTCGAGGGGGGTTGCAATTCCACTTCCATGGCTGTTTCAAGTAAAGCATCCAAAAAGTAAAACATATCACCAATTATATGTATACATGTATGTTGGATTAAAGTTGGATTTTACATTTTTTTTTTCCCAGGGGTTGCTTTAAGGGCTACACCGAGGAGAGGACTTTTCGCAGCTCCAAGGTATGAGTCACTGGATCTACTGGCAAATTTTGCGGATAACCACGATGAGTCGCTTGGCTTCATGATGGATGAATAGATGTGAATGCTTTACAATTGGGAAAGATTGGGAAAGTAGAGTATGATGCATTTTTCATGATTAATTCATGGAATTTGGTTGTTTTACAACTGGGAAAAAAACCTAATATCCTGCTCAATAGTTGCTCTTTGGTCCACAAGATGACAACCTTCCTGCTTGCTCAGGAATGCGCGCGTGAATTACTACTGCAAGGACTGTTTATCGGATGCAGCCCCATAAAGAAGTTCATGGGTTGACGGGTCACAGCAGAGAAGAGAAGATATGTGGTGCATCCGAGTTGCCGTGTATATATATATATACATACATTATAGACTAGCTCGCAGTATATTATATATGTGTGTTATATGGTATATATATATAGACTGTAATATTAGATACATGTGTCTTATACAAATACTATATATATATATACAAATACACATACAATATATATATATACATTGTATCTATCATAGATCATATAATTATATATAATTATATATATAGTATATTATATATATAGATATCTAAAGTACTGATATACATAACATTGCACAAGATTCTCCAGTTACTGCTGGAGATGCAGCTAAGATTTATCTGCTCGAGCCATGTTCAGCGGCAGGAAGACCAGCTGCGAATCAAGAGCGCAATGGCTTGGGTGATGTTGGCCCAAGGGATTCCTATTGTCTACTACGGCACCGAGCAGAACTTGCTCGGGC